TTGTCTTCCTCATTACACCGAATCTAAGTGACGAATCTCTCTGATTTTTTTGCGTGCGCCTCTGAATTCTAAAAGACCAAAAAAATATCGATTGCCGTGCATATGCAACCAAAATAAAGAGGTGCTGTCTATAAAATCATTATCAATTATGCTTATTAAACTCAACCCCACACTTTTTAAAGCAAGCACGGTACTATGCTAAAACTATAACAATACAGGGTGTCGTTGCAGGAGCTAAGCCAGAAATTTCAGAGGAGGGAGGGGGGTCAAACCCCAAAACGGGGGTCAACAGAGTGTTTTATTTGAAGCACAAATAGACATGTCACTACCTCGTGCAGGTCCATAGGTAGAGTCCCGCCCCCCCCCCCCTTTTTTTTTTACACATACATGCTTTGACCTTTTTTTCGGGATTTGTTATAGAATAAATGAGACGGCCTCGATCAGCTTCTTTGGAGAAATAACTCAGTAATTTTAAGGCAACGTTATTTGAGTTTGTAAATTAATAGGGGGAGCCCACTTATACGATCAGGTCGGGTCAGGTCCAGCCCATCGGGTAGTTGGAGCTAGCCAAATTGAGGGTGCAAAGCGGCCATCGTGGCATGAACCGATCGACCTACAAAAACAAACGCGTTTGTTTTCATGCCTGCGAATTGTGTTGTGAAAGCAAGGTGTAGATCTTACCTACCATAAGATCAGGGGTGTGGTTGAAACACAGCAGTAGCAAAGTTAAAGAATGCCAAAGAGTAGCAGTTAAAAAGGCAGCAGAAAGAGTCAGGTGCCCATAGGAGGGGGTAAACGAGCTGATGGGGTGATGGCAGAAAGTGGAGACGAAGACAACAGAACATTGCTAGAGAGCAGGAAAGGATGTGAAAGTGAAAGAAGAACATTTTTAGAGAAGATAATTTTCCGTCGTTTTCCGGAATCGAACCCTATTAAATGAGAGGCGAACACCTTAACCTCCAGACCACGAGAGCCCCCTTGATTTGTGTATGAGTTGAGGGCGGAGCTAATAGATTGTGACAAATCACACGCTTCCCTCACCCGCAGCTGAAAATGTATTGTTACCTGTAGGTCAATTTGGGTAAGCATTCATTGGAGGGACTAAGAATAACTACAGGTGAACGGATTATGACGGTCCGTCCACAGCGTCAGGGACAAATTAAAAATTTATGACCAACCGAGAGACCACGCCTGGCCGTCTCAGGCAGGCAAATATGGTCGTGGGTTTATAAAATATGGTGTTAAATTAATCGAAAAATCTCAAGGGGGGGGGGGGGTTGAAGTGGCCGCTTCCAACCCCCCGTCCCCCTTGCAGTTTTTTTGTTCGATATAATTTTAGCTATGTCATGGGTCTGCAATGCATGATGTTTGGATTTTTAAAAAATCGAATTTTAACTTTCTCCACTTTTGAGTACATAAATATATAATGTAATTTTACTAAGTCTGCTATCGAATGGTTCAAGAACTACGAGTATTAGTCAAATCACTGAAGTGGTAATCACACATCAAGTCTCTAAAGGGCATTCTGAAGGTTTAGTTTAAGGCCCAGTACTATTCACAATGTGTACATAATCACTTGCTGTTGAAATATAAAAGTATTAACTCAGCTACCACTTTTACGCCGATATATGACTCTTTTCATCCATAAAACAACGATGGATTCGTAGAAAGAGTAGAGAAATTCATTGAAAAGGTGAAAATTTATACTGAATGAAGAAAAAAAAAAGGAAATCATTCTCTTTGGGAGTTTAAAAAAACCTTGATAATGTAAATAGAAGCCATTTAGAAATTGAAGATACTAGTATATCCTTTTCCAACTAGGCCAAGAACCTTGGTATCTATTTCGATTGGGAATACCTGTATGTCCATGAGCAACCAAGTAACTCATGTTATTCAATGTATGTTACGTTGATCTCTGAAGAATTAGTAAGACAAGGCTCCTTATTTCTCCTGATAGTGCATGCATGGTCTCTGTCTCTCTTTCCTTGTAAAAACTTGACTATTGTAATTCTGTTCGGTATGGTATTTCATGTGAGTGAATGAGGAGATTGCAAGTGGCCTAAAATAACGCCGCAAGACTAGTGCTGAATAAAAAGAAGAAAGGTACTGCATCAAAAATGTTAGTTCTGCTCTGCATTTGTTTCCAGCTGATAGAAGAATTCAATGTAAATATTCTACCATCTGATATAAATGTCTGTACAAAAAGGCCCCATCATATCTATCTGAACTTTTAGCACCGTACGTTTCTTCTCGTTGGCCACGGTCATCCACAGATGTATCAAAATTCAGAGCCCCTACAATGAAATTACAATCTTTTGGTGAGAAAAGTCTCTCATATTTTGGCCCTAAATCTGGAGCTCCTTGCCTCAGGGTCTCAGAGAATTAATTAAATCTTATTACGTTCAAGCGATTGATCAAGGCTCTCAATTCTTAGTTATAGTGTGTTTGTAAATGCTGCTATGTTTTGTTTGTACTGTCGTTAATACGTGTATATTGTATGGTTGTGAAAGTTATTCTTTATGTGGTTGACCTGTTGGGTTTTTTTTCTTGTTACTGTGAACTATTTTATCTTGTGTGAATCGCTCAGTGATCATGTGATTAATGTGAAGCGTTCAAAGCTTATACTCGTATGGGAGTAGCAAATATACTCTATATAAATGCAATCTATTTTTTATGGTAATTATTGTTTTATTATTATTATTCTTCTTCTTCTTCTTCTTCTTCTTCTTCTTCTTCTTCTTCTTCTTCTTCTTATTATTACTACATGTATTTGTATTATTAATATTATTATTATTATTATTATTATTATTATTATTATTATTATTATTATTATTATTATTATTATTATTATTATTATTATTATTATTACATGTATTTGTATTAATATTATTATTATTATTATTATTATTATTATTATTATTATTATTATAATTATTTTATTATAATTATTATACAGTCACCTGTCATAAGTGTCTGTCCTTCCAATGGATGATGCAGGCATGTTGCTCAAGTCGCTCCCAATGTGTACCCAAGTTGACCAATGGGAAACAATACATAATATTCAGCTTCTGGTAAGGGAAGCGTGTGATACATCATAACCTAGAAGTCCCACCAACAACTCAGTTCGTAAACCCAGTCCATAAAAATGGAAATCAACACAAACTCGTACAGAAGTGTCGTTCGTTCGTCGAGTGGTGGTGACTGATTTGTTTGTTTTACTATGGCATTTGGCCTTCTTTGTCTGACGAATTTCGATTTGTTTCCACCTTTCACGGAACCCTGATTTAAAAAAAAAAAATTGACATAGACAAAAGTTACGTTGGCAAACCAGAGATATTATTTCATTAGAAAAAACAAAAACAAACAACAACGAAAAGAATACAGGTTTTTCATAAGGCTACTATTTATTGTATCGGTAAAATAAGATCAAACGTAGAATATTGCTTTGAACAGAATATGTTTACACGCCCCCCTTCCTCCTCCCCCCTTCCCCCGCCTCCTAAGAAAAGTTTGGGCAGACAGAAATGTGAAAACTGTTTTTAAAAAATAAAGTTTCAGATGTGGAACAAATGAGCAATGCCATTCTATTAATAACTAAGGTAAGTACACGTTCCTCTTCATCCAATCAGCGGTCTTACTTTATCAGCAACATGACGCAAGCATGACTCATGTGAAGCAATCTTGTGGTAAACCTATTTGGGGTCAACCCCAAGACAACAATAACTCGTCTGTTTTGGATCAACCGATCAATACGACCAATCGTGACGCTTCTAGAGAACCCCATGTAACTGGAACGCTCTAAAAATAGACTGGTGTGTCCCCGCATATATATTTAAGGCTCGTGGAAAACACCCCTTCATCAGGACCAGGTGTTCTGTAACCTACCGGAGCTAACAAGTGACGCGGGATATAAATAGACTACCTAGATCAGTGTAGTGCCTGCAGTCAGTAAATGGAGCAGCAAGTGAGACAAGGTAAGGAGAGACTTTACAACCTTGTGACTTGCAACTGCAGGTTATACAATATCCTTGATTCAGCAAAATTAGTCAAAAACGTAAGAGTTTTATGTGTGTATAAAGAATGTCGTCAAAGAATGCTATTTTTAAATATAATGTACTTCAATACTTTCTGCCGTTAATTTGTTTTAGTTTCTTTTGAGGTTAGACTTGGCATTTTTTTCCGTTTCAGGCTAGTTAAAACAATTTTTAAAAAACGTGTAATTCTTTTCAGTGTGCTTTATCTTAATAAAGCCCTTCATTTACTCCTTTGCTTGTTGTGTCTTTTAAATTGGATCCCCCGCAGGTTACCAACCGTTTCTTTTTTCACATTTCTTGTTAGAACTTACAATTTTTCTTGCTTTATGAAGCATTATTATTTATGTGATTCTGATTCTGATTATTATTGTTATTGCTATTGTTATTGATTATTAATCAAAGGAAACCAGGAGGTAGAAAAAACAAAGACCAAAAATTGTTGTCACAGGGAATAGGTGTGTTAGTTTCAATGAACCTCGAAGCGTCATTACTCCCGAGAACCTAATTGCCACTGACACAAAAAGAACTGATTTGTCAAGTAATCTTAAAATCATTCTACTGAACACACAGTCAACCTAACAAAAAGACCGTCTTACTCAAAGATTTAATATATGAGTCTAACTCCGATATCGCATTTTTTACGGAGTCATGGTTGCGGAACGTGGGAGATGAAATCATTATTGCCGGCTTAACTCTACCGGGACACAGGTTCATCTCCCTCCAAATAAATGGAACACAGCCTATAATTTGAGGGGACTTCAATTTACAATTTGAAGATATCTCAGACACTAATGATAAATCTGTCAAATCTATTATAGAGTTTCATGGTCTCTATCAACACTCATCGGTGTCCCCACTCACATAAAAAACACACATTAGATTAGGTGATTACTGACAATATCAGTAAAATCGGTGACTGTGTGTGTGTGTGTGTGTGTGTGTATGTGTGTGTGTGTGTGTGTGTGT